TTTTTATTTTTTTTCTACTTCTAACACCCACGAAAAGTCAACTAGTCAATCTTACCTAGATTTCGTCTAAGGATATTTGTTCCACAAAAGGGCAGATGCACCCCATTCACACAAATTATAGCATCATTGGTCCTGAAAGTGCTGAAGTAAGGCCCTATATAACTGAACACATATATTATTGTGCGCGTCCTGTTAGAATTCCAGTTATTTGTATTTGAGTATGTGTATTGCGTTACACTTTAAATTTTATTTTTCTTCATAATTTTCCTGTGCCTTTTGTCCGTTACATTTTTGTGTTGATTTCTAATGTTGTTGTTTTTGTGGGTTTTTACATGACCTATCTAATAACCATTTTTTATCTTAAGAGAAGAAAACAAAAGATATCAGAAATGCATTTAATTACACTTTTAAACATAGATATCACAATTTAGCAATGATCGCTTTTTTGACCACTGGACAATTAATTAATAGTTACCTACTAGCTTAATCATGTTTGACCAGTGATGGTTTTACTCAATCGATATAACTCATTTTAACTATGGAACATATCTATAGATCTATCTGTGGGTCAGTGGTAGATTTCCGAGCTTGCAACACTAAAATTCGGGATTCGATTCCCTGCAGAAAAAAAGCTACAGAATGGGCTATCTGTGCTTTGACCACTAGGGGTATTAAAACCCGGATTCTAGCGTTGTGAGTCCGCAGACATACCACTGTGCCAATGGGGGGCATGAATTAAAGTTTTCTTTCACTGTGGCCGAGTCGGTATGACAAACTTACTTGTTGTGATATGGGAGTGACTATAATACATACCTGGAGCTTGTTATACTTCATTAAAATATTTTCTGATTTATTTTTTTACTCCCTCTTTGAATCAACACTTTTAAACTGCCTTAAATTAAATCTTGGAAATTCCAGAACTGTGACTACCTCCTATCCTAATAATCATTCTCCAACCTATTGTTCATAGCTGCTCGTGTGGATCTAATCTCGTTCCGGATAGTTTGCCCCGGATCTGATTTTACCTTGAAATTGGACACAAAACGAAAGCTAAATACTTCAGATTTTACATTTGTACTGTGATTTTGTACGCCATGTATATCGTAATGTCGTTAATGAAAAAGGAATACTGTTTGAATTTCTAAAAATCGAAGATAAGATGTGTCAGCTTTGAAATTTAACTTTTTTTTTGTTTGTTTTTCTGATCGCAAGTATAACTTAAGAAGACTGAAATGTAAAGTCGGATATATGAAAGAAACAATCACACCTTAGTTATATACCTGAGTTTTCCGAACAATCAAAGAACAGATGTAACCGAATTCAAGTAACAATAGAAATCATTTGAAGTGACATCTAACATCCGCCTTTAATTATTGTGGCTGACAAGAAAATGTGGCTTGACATATGCCAAATCTGTGTATGTAATTGTCCAGGTAACAACAAGCTTACGCCGAGAGTCAAGGAGATTCCGTTAACTTCTCGTTAAAGACAACAAAAGCGGAAGAAAGTGAGACGTGCATTAATTCAACAACAAATTCGATAGCCAACTCAGACCAAGTTCGTCTAATCCTGCCACCGTTCTTTCTTACTTCCTACCTGTTGTTAATATGACCTTGAGAGATCAGATGCATGCTTCTCCTTCAGTCCTTCATCTACTCAACCTTCAACCAGTTTGTTCCATATCACGTTTAATAACGATGACCTTCAAACGGATATCAGTTAGATATTTGCTTACATGGGTGTAAAGATTGCATGTAGGTTTTAAGACCCATTTTCTGACAAATTTAATAGTGCAGCAGATAAAAATTTAACGAAAACTCTAAAATAACAAAATGTCGTTATTTCTTATGAAGATGAGTCTAAATATAGGTTATACATTCTATATTTTTAAATAAAAGTAATATCTTCTAAAATACTTTTTAATTCATAGAATTTGCATCGTGACAAAAAGGTCCAAAATTGTTCGGCCTAAATTGAGAAATAATTTTGATATTTAACAAATATAATGTAAAATTAATACTTACTGACATTGCATAAAATAAACGTAAACGGGTGTAACTACATGTCGTGAAACACAGATGAAAACTCGATTTTAGAGTAATCTAAATTTTAATACATGCAGATATAAATTGGTGCATGCGATCAAGTGACGTCACTTAAGCTTTACCGAAGACAGACTTTAGTCCTTAGAAATATACGTCCATACAAATTTATTATGTAAATTAAACCAAACCAGTCGCAGATTACGTTAGTCTGAAAAAATATGACAATTTCGGTGAATAAGCATTGGTAAATGGAGGATTTAAAAGTCGCATCAACTCAGCTAATATAGTTATTCTTTAGAGTAAGCTAATGTCTTATACGCACAGATTCACCTAAACAGAGTAATAAAGTTATACATGATGTAACTGTAACGAAGCGCTAAAAAGAGTATAACTTTTTTTGTGGAAAATGAAACGAGAGAAAATGGTGTATGTACAGTAAAAAAAGTTAATATCTCAAAGAAGCATGAGAAAGGTGAAAATGAAAAATTGTTTATATGCAATTGAATATGAAAAAAATTATACAAAACACTTATAAAGAGTTGGAGAAAACGAATAAATTTCTAACAGTGAAACTAGTGTATGAATAAAAATTTCTCAGACAAACTGTTTCACATAAATATGCTAAGATACTCTACGCTTTGCTCTAAACATTCCATTATGTTTATAAAAAAAAGAATATTAATTATAAAACTTAGGAACAACTATATTTTTGCTACTCTGAAATATTATGTAAATTAAAAAAAATCATTTTTAACAAAAACCAAAGTAACGACAACAGATTAATAAGTGGCCATAAAAAATCTAATCACAGGTACTTTAAATTTACGTAAATACGTCTTTTTCTAGAATGAAAGTTTGAAAAAAGTCAGTTATTCAGCTAATTTTATCACTTCTCGTTCCGTGGGTGGAAAGTAGGGGGGAGATCGTAATAAGCTTACTTTACAAACTCATAAAACAATTTTGATCTGTCGGGGGAAAGTCCAAACTACTAACTACATGTACTTCCACAGTGTTCTCTTTCAAGAGTAAATAAAACGAAAATTAAGAGTAAACAATTTTGATCTGTCGAGGGAAAGTCCAAACTACTAACTACATGTACTTCCACAGTGTTCTCTTTCAAGAGTAAATAAAACGAAAATTAAGAGTAACAAATATTTTTATTCCTTGCTTTTGAAGTTCATGTGTCAAGCTGTGTTGTAGCCTACAGAGTGCATAATTATTCTCGTGATTCATGGCATGCGCACGTTTTACTGGCGTAACTACAGTATAAATTACAATGTTAAGCGTCCCTTATGCGACGTGATCGTAGTGTCTACTGACGCGAGTAGTTAAAACAAGGGACCCTTCCAGGTGGCCTTCGGCCCGTTTTCGGGGAAATTAAGGTTTTTGGTCTGGGTGGATTTTAAAGCTGTTTAAAATGCCTGTTATTGCCTGTCATATAACGTTTTTCATGTACAATCATTTAAACTTCAATGATGCTTAAAGTGTTTTTAAATGATATAGGATTTCCTACCCACAGAAAAACAAAACAAGTAGCATCTACTTTGTTTCCTATAAATGTTTTCCCAAAAGACAAAACAAAAGAATGTAAAAACACTTAAAACTCACAACATAATTTGGAATGCTGTAAAAAAAAGTGGGAAATCTGAATAAATAAATATTACAAGATATTCACTTTACTCGTAAAATATACTGTGTACTTCTCTTCGTTTCCTATAATTTCTCTAAATTTGACATTTGGAAAGAACAAAGCTATTTATTTTGTGAAACTCAAGAAACTAACTTCTCATTTTCTAAAATAAAGACTTTAGTTTCAGTTTTAACCGAAATCATTTAAACTAAGACACAGCTGTTTTAAAATCATTGTATTTTGTATGAATGAAATTAGAACAGTATCTCGTAGAGAATTCTTGAGCTTATTTGTTTGTTTCAGAAATTCGCATAAAGCTACACAAGAGCTATTTGAGCATTACCGTCCCTAATTTTGAACTGAATTCTGAAATTCGTATTTAACTCTTGGGCTACTTTTGTATGATCGAATAGTGGGATTTGACCGTCACCCTTATAAGGCATTTTGGTTAATGGGTTGAAAAAAAACATGAATTTTTAGATTTTCACAGTCCGGGCACGTTAACCACTAGGCTATGATTATCCAACATTTATGTTGACACCTATTACTTGTATCACAGAATAAGTATGAGACTTGACTACTGTGTTGTTTTGCCATAAAGAGATACAGAGGGAGCTTTAACAGTTAGTGTTTCTAAAATATGATTTCAGAATATTGTAATCATTAACGTCGCTTTTTAGTTTGTTTCTTTGTGTAGAACAAAACCACAGTGGGCTATCTGCTGTGTCTACCGCAGGGATCGAACTCCTTATTTCAGCGTTATAAGTCCGTAAACTTAATGCTGACCCACCGGGAACATCTTTTTAAAGAAACACTCAGCAATAATTCAAGTTGTTTGAGTTTCTGTATTCACGGAATTCCACAGTCCTTAAAAGTAGTCACATGATTTTAGTGGAGTGCTACAAAACACAAAACCTTTACTCCAAAACCAGAAAACTGAATATTTTGTGGACAAATTTTCTGTCAAATTGCTCAGTAATTCAAACATTATTCTGCAGCAACTGTTTCAAACGAGTAAGCGATAGCTTGAAGGACAATATAAGCAATAAACAGACTTCGTGTTGGATCGTTTACTTTACAAGAGAAAAAACGAAGGAATAAAGATAGAACGGTAAAGTAGGACCGAGGTGAAGCGGATGACGTCAAACCACTTTTCACATGAACAAAAAAAGGATGAGTTTTGATACCAAATATTCAAGGTCTTTGCTCGAACGACGGCTGCAGGTATAGAAATTAGATATTATCTACTAGTAGAAGTTCTAGTCGTTCTTCCGCACGGTTTAAAGATTTTGTCCTGAACGGTATATATATAGGAGTGTTCAAAGATGAGAGAGGCAGACATCGTCCAAGTTGTGAAAACAAGCAGATTTAAGCTTGTCTTTGGATGGGTCTCAGGGTAAGTATAGTTGTGCTCTTTGTAGAGATATAATACGCATTTATGAGTTACATACCATATAGATGTTTAATATATATACATTTTTTTACTGCATGATTGAATAGGAATCTATGAAGGGAAATTTATACTATGTTTAAGGATTTCTAAGTCATAAACTTTTTCTTAGAATATTCTGATGGTCTTACTAAAGCGAAGGATTTTGTAAGAAATTTAACACTGTATTTTCAAGTTTCGTGTACATTTCTCACATGTTAGCTTTATTTGTGTTTGACTTACAGGACTTATGTATTTCTAATATACGTAAATAAGATGTCTAACAGAAACGCCTTGAAGAAATCTCTTAGTATAAAATCGATTGATTTGATATATAACATAGCATATTGTATTATTTAAGATATAACGATTCTTGATTATTCTAACATATCTACAGAACTTATATAAAATAAATTATATTTATGCAAAATTCAAATGGTTGATGGAAAGTTTTAGAACTGCGTGATTTATATTTTTCCAGATTATTTTCTTTTGTGCCCTGGTGGCACTTCGCACCAACATGAGAGTGGCTCTTGCAGGCATTCCTCTCTACTATGATGTGCTTCCACATGTTCAGTACAGCCAACCACTTGGCCCACTTACAGCTCCTGCTCTTGAATCCCCTGTGTTTGTTCAAGGGGTAGGTAAAAAAATGCGCGTGGTTTATGGTCTAGATTGTCATACTAAAAATAAAGCTTACTCGGATAATCTGGTTAATTTCTTCTCGTTTGTTTTTATCAGACTAGCCCCTTGTCCTTTACTTACACTGCTGGAGCTGAGGGAGGATTCAGCTCTAGATCGGAATCTGAAAGCGCCGCTGGAGAAGTGACAAGGTCCTACAGCTTAAACATCCCAGGTGGACGTCAGCGAGAAGTTAACTACAAGGCTGGCAGGTCTGGGTTCACAGGAGAAGTGAGATCTAACGAACAAGGAATCAATGCGGGAGAAAACCCTGCTAATGTACAAATACTTGCTCTTGGATTGGGTGCACCTATATCATCTGAAGCACAACGAGTCAGCCCAGCAGTACCCTTTGGTGAACCTGTGAGTATATAAGCTAATTGACGTTAAAGCTAGGACTGTCGCCTTTAATTATATTTGTATGGGGTTAATCTATGTAAATATTAAAATTACGTATTCAAATAACATACTTAGAAACGCAATATGAGTGTTTTGGTACTACCGATGGAAAGTTATTGTCCATATTAGTGACTTGTGAAAATGTGTTAATTTTTTGAGGCAGCATTCAGTTCTTTCTATGAAAATCAGTAATTCTGTTATATTTGAGAAGTTTAGTCCTACATATCCAAAACTATTTTAAACGTTAAAATATAATTCCTTAAGACAATATAACGAACAATGTATGTTTTCTCAACATGGATCTTCAATAACTAAAACAGAGAAGAAAATATTAAAATAATGAATTAGTTTTATAGTCCTGAAATTACGTTCTGAAAAAAAAAAGATCGTTGGTAAAAGACACGATAAAATGTGTTATTATAACATTTCATTAAATAACGATATTAGTACATGGTCTTCGTGCAATAATAATATATTTAATGATCCTTGACAGCTTTTCTATTAAAGCATAACTTTTGTTCAAGATGTAGATATCTTTAAAAAAAATCTAACCTTTCTCCTTTTCTTATATGTAAAATTTAAAGTAATTTTGTAAGCTACAGAAGTTCTGATATATACTCTTTAACACAATATTTATCAGCGATTTGCAGGAATTTATTCTACGTAATGGAAATATTTCTATTCAATTACTCAAATTAAATTTAAAACACAAAATGTTAAAACAATTTCATTAAAACCAAATGGTTAAAACCTGCAATACGCTTCTACATCCGCTAACTGTCTTCCTCTGTATTTTAAACTTAATTTTTTCAGGTGTGACAGTTTAAACCTGCAATACGCTTCTACATCCGCTAACTGTCTTCCTCTGTATTTTAAACTTAATTTTTTCAGGTGTGACAGTTTAAACCTGCAATACGCTTCTACATCCGCTAACTGTCTTCCTCTGTATTTTAAACTTAATTTTTTCAGGTGTGACAGTTTCTGTTGTCATTTACCCAGACTTTTAAACTAATCCTTTATACTCAAACTGTATGTGATTTTTACTTCTTAGAGAAAACCTTTGTCTTACACATACTCAGCTGGAGCAAAAACTGGAGACGTTTCTGGAAATGTGGCGGAATCCTCCAGCGTGGACAAAAAAAAGACAAATGAACATTACAGAAATGTAGATTACAGTGCTGGTTCTGGCGGGTTTAAAGCAAATGTTCACAGTAACGAACCCGGTGTTTTATCCGGTAATAATCCAGCTGATATTAACATTAACCACTTCACTGTTGGTGTTGTACCCAGTAGTAATCCAGCTAATGTTAACATTAACCACTTCCCTGCTGGTGTTGTACCCAGTAATAATCCAGCTAACATTAATAACAACCTCTTTCCTGGAGTACCATCTATCCCTACTGGTGCATATGGAACCGGTGATGAACACATCCCTGTTAAATCAGTAAGTAGGAATCAGGAAAAACATAAATATTACATTGTAGCAAATCCAGGATAAACTTTTGACCTGCTTGGAAATGTTCGGAATAATCACTCGCGATCTTTCCTGTATAGTATAAAACTCGAAATATTGTAATGCTTATATTATTTGTAATTAATTAAGCGCTGTAATAACTATAATAACAAGACAATTATGAACTTTAACTTGCTATTATATTACTATCAACAAGTTCCTAGTTTCTGTGATCTTTGTGAATCTTTAAACAACGTTAACTCCGTGAAAAATGTATCGTGAGAAGATAAAAACCTTTCGATAGTGAGATACGAGAATGCTTTCAGTGTTGAATGTGGCTATCAAGTAAATAGTTGTGAAGTTGCACGATGTTTCACAAAAACGGAATTATTATTTGATTATTATAGTAGTTTAAGAATAATGCTAAGATAATCTTTGTTTCCAAATTAACAGAAATTTCAGAGATAATAGGTTTAGTAAAAATATGGTAATATGTAAAGTAAATCTCATGAATTACATTGCTTATATCCTACCTTTGAATACCTTGAAAAGTCTACCTTGAAGTAAATCTCATGAATTACATTGCTTATATCCTACCTTTGGATACCTTCAAAAGTCTACCTTGAAACGTTTTGCACTACATCACATATATTTTATCATCTCTTATAAAATAAATTCTGTATATTGCTATTTTAAAATGCTTACAATGTCAAAGAAATAATTAATATTTTTCACACAGATAGGTCCTTTCTCCTTCACCTACACAGCTGATGTAGAAGGTGGCACCAACTCCAGGACAGAAGGTGGAGATGGCTCTGGTAATGTTGCAGGTTCTTACAGTGTGGCGGACCCTGATGGACGTCGTAGGACCGTAAAATACATTGCGGGTGCTGGTGGGTTTATGGCAGATATCCAAAGTAACGAGCCTGGTGTGGAACCTGATAGTAATCCTGCTAACGTCAAAATCAGCTCTTTCCCTGGTGCCCCTGTTATTCCTACTGGTTCCTCTACTGCTGCTGGTGCTACTGCTTTAGCTGCAGAGGTGAGTTTGTGTATTTAATTTTCCAAAGTAAGCAAATTGTTAGTGTTAATGTTTGTATATGAATGCAATCTTGGCCAAAATGCATGCATACTATTCTATATTGATGTTATTGTTTACATGTATGGAGCAGTTATTGAGAAGATGATTCCAAAAACATATATGAGTTGTTATTCTGGTCTGTATAAGTTGTTTTGAGCATTCGTTCGTCAAAAAACACCTGTTTTCTATAAAAACTTTTGGTGTAATCGCTTTGAAACAGATCAACGTTTTGTTCAGACAATTTCTCTGTACTTGGTGTAGAGTCATGCCTCGTAACGTGCCAGAATTTATTGGACGTCAACTTGTTCGATTGTCCAGAAATGGTACGAAGCATATGAGCTCTCCCAAAACAGTAGGGTACCCCCAGTGTACTGTATCCAGAATCCTGAAACGTCATCGGAGTACAGGCAATAACTTTGTGTTCCAGATTGAAAATCCATTGAAAACTGTTGGGTAGAACTGAGCCGGAAAATTGCTAACCACGACACTAAACCAGCTACTTTAGCTGAGTTGCAGTGCCTTCTACTAACAAGTTGGGATAAAATCACGGTGGATGACATCAATAACCTCATAGACAGCATGCCACGTAGCTTAGCGAAGGTTATTAGAGTAGGAGAAGGACCAACCAAGTTCTGAATGTTTAATATGAACTGGTATAAGGTTACAGACACTACTGATAATAATTTGATGCTCTGTTTTGTCAATATATATATTTTGGTAAGGTTTTGTTGTGATTGATGAAATGCTGAATTACACGTTATTTCTACAAGTGCCTGATAAAATTGTCTGCTGTTCTAATAAATCGTTTACCTGACTCATTATACAAATTACATATGTAGTTATTTAATATAACATGCATTTCTCAGTTTGACAGCGCTAAGTGTATTTGTATCCCATCTTAATAATAATGAAATTACGTGTTACAAAATATGCAAACATTTTGGCCAAGACTGTATATTAACTCAAATGTAATTTCATACTTCATGATGACATTAATAAATTTATTAAATATTATTTTGTATTGAATTTTTGAAGGTATTGTCGTTTCTTATCAGTTTTATTTTTCGTGCCTTTAAAACATCGTATGTTGTATCAAAACAAGTCTACTAAATACCCTACGTAATACCAATGAACCCTCGCTCTACATTTATAAAAAAAAACGGTCATCTTATATATTTTTCTTATTCCAGTTGAGTCCCTTCAACTTCACGTACACTGCAGTTGCTAATGAAAGGTCTGTTTCTCGTTCCGAAAGTGGAGATGTAGCTGGAGATATTGTTGGATCTTATTCTGTTACGCACGCTGATGGAACAAAACGTGCGGTAGATTATGCTACTGGTGCTCAAAGTTTCAGGCCTAGTATACAATCCAATGGCAAAGGTCTTGGTGATAACCCTGCTAATACTAAGAATTTAGCATTCGCAGGAGCTATTGGATCACCACGTGCGGTTATCCCTGTCTCGGCTGCTACTCCACTAACAGCCTTTGTACCACATCCTATATCTACCAGAGAATTTTTTGAAATTGCTAAATATGCACCTGCTTCTGAATCAAAGATTCCAAATTATTCGTGGTATCGCTAGGCTGTGTTTTTAGAGCAGCAAATGTCTCATCAATCTACATATCAAATATTTGTCTGACCGGCGTACAAATGGATCATTAATTTTTTAATTCTGTAGGAATTCTGAATATGGACCAATAACTAACTCTTCTGACCACTGGAAAATTATTTATAAATTTACTCAACAACCAGAATTTTTATTGTTATTTTTATTCAAGTATTGATTACAAATTTTACAGTGGATTGGCTTGAAAGGAGTTTACTAAATATTAAAAATAGAAAGAATGTTTACACTTTTAACGAAGTCTTTTTTCAGAATTATTAGGTTAGAAAAAATGTGTAGATATGTAGAATATAATAATTGTTTTTATGGTTTGTCTAGCAATTAATCTAATGTATTATTAGTTATGCTTCTTAAAAAATACGATTACATTCTTGAATATCCTTATGCTGCAATTGTGAAGAAATCAAATTTGTTAGTAATAAAAGATATAAAGGCTTAATATAAACCGAAAGCTAAGCCTTGTTTGATTGTCTATTGTTTGTCTATTTCAACCTGCTTACTTCTATGCATTAAGACTTTTCAAGTTTCAAAATCCTGTCCACATTGAATATCATTCTCAAAACTAATCAACTTGAACAAATCATTACCATATCAAGTGAAGGACCTTTAAATATACTTTCCAGCTATTCTGTAATATCTTGCTTTTTATACTGTCAAGGTTTAAATGAAATGTGTTACTATTGGTCTTTTTTTAGATTATAGCTAGTTTAGAACAATATTACTTATGTTTATGTGTATATACATTTATATAATGAAGTATATGTTTTATCAATAAAATGACTGTTGCAAATGTAAAGCAAATAGAAGCGCCTGAGTTTATTTCCTGTATTTTTTATGTGTGTGTGTGTGTGTATGTATGAAATTAATGGGAATTATAATGTTTTTGTAGTTTTCAAAACTTGGAGCATTCGTTAGAGATTTTTGGGAAACGGATGGGACTTACGTTTTTCTTCGGGAATTTTTATTACCTTGTCAATTTGGTTATACACTTTTATCAACAACTACAACGGTGATTTCTGTAATACAAATTAAAATTGTTCGTTTTTTTGTTTTTTTTCGTAACGTTTTCTTCGAGGTGGTGGTGGTGGTGTTAAACAGTTTAGAGGAATAATGCAGTGTTGTATAAACACTATGCCGTACTTAAAATAAAACAAAAGAATCTTTAAAAAGATGGTTAAAACAATAAATAAAAACACAGTAACTAAAACTAAAGAGTGAGAATAAGTTATGATTGCCATTAAAAATTGTAGTGAAACTGATGTATCAAATGTTAATATTACAGTTGGTTGTTATTAAGCACAAAGTTACACAAAGGGCTAACTGTGCTCTGTCCACCATGGGTGTCAAACCCCGGTTTTTAGTAGTATAAGTCCGCAGACATACCGTTGTGCCACTGGGGGGCTAAGTTACAATAAGGCTCAGATGAGTGTATGATTAGCGGAGCACGATCATGTGTTTATTTTCCTGTCTAAAACATCAACAGAAAACTTTTCAGTATTAAGATATGTTTTATGGTTAGAGTAACTGCAAAACATTTCAGGGTTTTTGTATATGAGCAAAATCTCCAGGACACCTTGAAGTATAAGATATGTAAATTATTTAATATAGTTACACTAATATGAAGAAGCTAACCAGTGAATTTCTATGAAAAGTTATGTCACTATTCAATATGATGGAACAAAGAGATAGAAGAAGATGTAAGGGAGAAAAGGAAAGCTTCCAATAAATAAGAAGAAAGCCAAGCTGAAGATGACTATGTGATATACCACATAGCCATAAGAAATAATAGCGAAATAAATGTCAAGGAAAAGTTTGAAGAAGGTCTGAATCAGAAATGTGTAAAACCAATAAGATAATGGAATAAGCCTTTTGAGCTTACAGTGATAATTAATGATGAAAAGGAAATATATTAACGGATGATGGGGAGATTAGAGCTAGATGAGCAAATTACTTTAAACAAATTTAGAACCCTGAGAGCAAAGAAACCTTTCAAGAAAAAAAGCAGTTTATTTCAAGCTATATGGGGCATGAAGAGCCCCAAATTCTAAGAAGTGAAGTCCGCTGGTGTACATGCGCTATTTTGTTTTAAGGGGACTAAAAAAATATCCTAAAATAGGGCACATTTCCACTTCTTTTTGTAGACGTTTGACTTTAAAAACATAAGCATGAAATCAGTTGAATTGGGTATGCAGTAGGCATCTACTAAGGTCATTGGGGATTTAAAAACAGAAGAAAGAAGGAAGGTGAATACTATAGAACATTGTCCTGTATATAATAGTTGTTTACTTAATGGGTACCCTCAGCTAGTTTATAGTAAAATATTATTTTCAACAAAAATCTACTAGAAAATTGAAGACAATTATACTTGTGTTAATAAGTTCTTCAAATAGAAAGGGAAAGTGCATTAATCATTGAATTTTTTTTAATAAATTGAAACTGAGATTATATATATTTGTATTAACACCTCATTTGTGGAAATTAAATGTGATATGAAAAATGCTATCAGGGTCTTTTGTTGTATTTGACACATTTGAAGCATGGTGATTATGACCAATCTTTTCATTGACAAATATGCACACAGCTCAAACTAATTAAGCTAAACTTTTCTATAAACATAATTTTATAAGACAAGCGCAAACCTATCAGTAAATGTTTAAAGGTAAAATCTTGAATTCATAGAAACTACTAGGTATAAAAAGATGGTATATTTCACTTACCTAAAACACCTAGAAGTAAACAAATATATACTTTTCGATTTAACTTCACAATATCAAATAACAAAAGGAATGTTTTTGCTTGCTTTTTTACCGTTTCAATTTTGAAATTTAGAATAAAAACATTTATCTGTCTCTTTTCTCACTTTAATTTGTCAAAATGTATAAAATGATAGCTAAGATAAATATTTTTTTCTTTGATAGAAATGAGGGTAAAGGATCTTATAATAAAGATCACATTCCTCTGGACTGGCTGTCCTACTACAAAGTTTTCATCATTTGTTTTAGAATAAATGAATAGTTTAGAAATAGAAAAAATAGAACTCACTAGGTCAGTTGGCATGTAATACACAAAGCCTCTGGCAAAACACTATTTGTATGAGTCATATTAGATAACTTACAATATATTGTTCGGTCAAGAAGATGATGTGTTATTCATAGTGGGAACCCGTATAGGACCCGTAAAGTACCATTTGTTAAAAATACTAAAAAGTTTTGTTGTGATGTATTGTAAAACAAACCACTTGTATAAATAGATCACGCTTCGCCAGCATAAGACGTCATGTTTCGGTATGATCGACATCTTGCAAATAAATTAATATGAATAGCATTTTGACCAAATCTTTGTGTGTTGTATTACCAGTCAACCAGATAGTGAGCAACATTTCTTGTTGGCAGCGAATTGCAACAGAAACTGTGCGGTCAAGATGCTATTATTTACTTTTCAGTGGAAACCTGTATGGAGCCAGGAAATAAATATTTGTTAAAATTTGTTAACAATCTTGTTGCGATGTAATGTCACACAAATCACTGATAAATCACGTTTTGCAGACAAAAGGAGTTATTTACTTTTATAGTCATTCACACACATCTGGTCAAGCGAAACGGAAAGCACGGTGCTGTTGCTTTATGTAACCATAACCAGTAGTTTACTGTGACGAAATCAAAATTTTATTACTCCATGTTTCGCACTAGAAAATTTAGTTCAACACCATTAAAAGTTTGTTTTTAATATGCCACCATGTGCACAACTCATAAAGACAGGGAGCAAAATAAAGAATATCCAAAGTTTAATAAACAACCACACGTGATACATCTAATTCAATAATATTTATTCAGACTTTTAATTAAAAACGTTGTAAACGATCCAAAACTCTACTCCTTGTGTCTACTACTAGGATAAAACAAGTTGTCTTTAATAGTCAGTTGTATGAAAAAAATCTATAGTTGAGTGCCGACTTTAACTCATTCAATATACAGAGGGTCTAGAAAACCAAGAAATGGGTTTTGTTTCAACCATATACGTTGTAACTTGTTTTAACCATCAAAATGATACCTTGTTATGACCATACAAACATCACATTGTTTTAAATGGGTAAACAATACCTCATCATACTCATGCAGGACGCACCTTGTTCTGATTTAGAAGGTAGTACCTTGTTATGACCATCAGACAATGCTTTGTCTTAACTATGCAGAACATACTTTGCAACTTGTATAAACCCACTTAATCGTAGCCATATATAGTGAAGGTAGTGTGAAGTTTGAAACATATTGTGAATGAAATCACATAGTTAGCACTAAATCCATCATCCAGAACTTTATTGAGAATTCTGAACTATAGGCCTGCTAGCTCACTGCACATAGGGAGCTCTAGCATGTTGTTAAATTTCACAAATAGGCTGTTACCCACCTGCCTTTCCTCACAGCTGCAACGCGCCAGCTCTCGGTGTACCTTAAGTATCGAATTAGGTGAATAACAATGTCAAAAGTATCAAATCCCTATATTCGCTTTTTTATCTCAACCGTGAATTGTGTTATCTCAGCCATGAACTGTGGTGGAGAAGTATCATATGGCATGGAGCTGGTGAACTGGTTTGAGTTTGATCCACTGATAACATTATGGAAGCCATTAATGCCTTTCCCATTGTGAAATTCTGGACAAAATCGTTCTATTTGCACTCTTTGAAATCAATGAAGATCGACCAGACGTTTTTCAACATCATAGTACACCTTACCATACCACACGCAGTGTTCGGCAATGGTTTGAGACAAATTGCTTCAAGAATCTACTAACCTTAGCCAGTTCACAGTTCCGACCTGATTCTATTTGAACTAATCTAGCAAGTTTTTACACATCGCCTCAAGGACAAAAGAAGCTGTCTCTGAAACTTCACCAAATTTTTATTTTGTTTGCGGTATATTCCACTAAATTTGTACAAACAATTAGTGCCAAGTGGTAGGGAAGAAACCCAGGATGTAACTAACACCAAACTAGGAACACGGCTGTTATTTTTACATCAGTATCAGTTAGTTCCTGATAGGAATGAGTACAACTTTAATAAAGTTGAAATGAAAACGAAGTGCAAGTATAGTACGATTGTTACAAGTGGTGTCAAAGTAATGGCAGAAGTAGAATACAGAATTCCTTACAAACACTAGTATTTAATAAATATTATTTGTATTTAATACCAAATGGCAATGTTGTTAATCTGATAATCACATCTAACGTCGATTACTAACCCTATTGCAAGGTATCATAATATGAAGTGCAGTGCAATAGACTCAGAATCTACTTCAAATGTAATTTTTTTATTCTTATAAAAATAAAAATGCATCCATATAAAACTAAAGTAAGAGAGATAAAGTGCTAAAAAATTCATTTCCCAAATAGACCACAATTTAACATAATGTGTGTGTATGTGTTTATAACAAAACTGCATCAGACGATCTGCCTGTGTCCATCGAAGGGAATCAAACGTAGATTTAACAAAAGGTGCCGAAATAGGTAAGTCATATTAATTACCGGGAAATTAAGGTTTGCATTTCAACTTCAAGAACAAGTTGTTTAACATATTTTGTTCATTAAAACAAACGAAAATGCTTTTTTA